GGGTTTTGGGAGGAACAATGGGGGAATGAAATGGGGGTGTGGATTGTGATAAGAAAGAGTCGAGATTGTGAGAGTTGGAGAAACGCCTGAACATTTTCATGGTGGTAAGATGTTGAAGGTGAACAGCGACTGAGCTCGCGACGGGGACAGGGGAGAGCTGCCAGAGGAGCAGGGTTTGGTGTTGGGAGATGGACCGTGGAGTCCGCCGGATTTTCAGAAGTGGGTTTGCGTTGGCTTTCAATTTATATTTTAGTAAACTGCATTTTGCACCACCAGAGTTTTAGGTTATTTGAAAATGAGCCCTGAAATTTCCATTTTTTTTTTCCTGAATTGTATCCATTTAATCTCTAATCTATGTCAATTACACCGTCTAATTACACGTTCATGTGGTGACGTGATTAGGGGTGGGTTCGGTACGGTTACCGTACCAAAACCCTTGTACCGATTACCATACCAAACTTTCGGTTTGGTAAAATCTATTACCATTACCGTACCAAACTTTCGGTATACCGAAGTTTGGTATTGCCAAAAGTTCGGTTGGCATGATATGGCAATGGTAATTGTCATTTTGTTTTGGGACAAAATTTGTTTTTGTTTTTTTAACCCAATTCAAGGGCAAAACTTTTTTTTGTACCTTTATCTCATACATTATATATTAAATTCATCTATTATTCATCATTCACAATTCACACACATAATAATTCAAATGATACATCAAGAGTCATCATGAAAATTAATCTTACAATCCAAAGAGAAGTTACGAACCAAAACAAATAGAAGTTAACAATCCAAATAGAAATTAAAATTTCAAACCAAATGAAAATTGGAGGTAAACTTCAAAAAGGAGAATTCATTGATCAGTTATTCAAGCTTGAGATGTCGAAGCTTTTGGAGGAGGCATTGAACTTGTAGAAGATTGAGTTTGTGTCAAGCATACATTACAAACAAGGAAAACATATTAATTAGTAGCAAGAAGAATTAAAGTTGAAAACCATTTAATAACAAATTTACTAAAAAAATTAAAACATATCTTTCTTGTTTTCTCTTCTTCCATTTCCTTGTAAAATTGAAGCATATCTTCCGTTGGTTCCTTGTAGAAATTTACTTCATCTGCCCTAAGTCAACCACTAGTAAGCACTAGTGCCTCCATTATTTTAGGAGTCAAGGATACCCTAAAAGGGTTCATAACCCTCCTCCCTAGGCTAAATGCATTTTCACTAGCAACAGTAGAAGTGGGGGTTACAAAGATATTTTGGCTATTTGTGAAAAAATTAGGAACTCTTTTGTGTTTGATTTCCACAATTTTAAGAGATCAAAGTCACCAACAATAATGCTAATATAAGTAGCGTTTAATTTTCAAATTATTGGAATATTATAAATATGTGTTATATAATTATCTATTATATAATTTATAAATTATCAATTATACTGTATTTTCGGTATGGTACGGTAATACCGTGGTAATGGTATCCATTATCAATACCGTACCATGAAATTTCGGTACGGTACAATACCATACCATTACTGATTGGTACAAAAAATTTGGCACAAAATCGGTATGGCACGGTTGGCAATTCAGTTGGCACGGCAATTTGGCAAAAAAATCCACCCCTGGACGTGATATAGACTAAGCCACATTCACCAATATATGAAGATTGAAACATTGTGGCTCAATTCGCAAAATTCTTTTTTATTTCTCCTTTTTTTTTTCATTTATAATTTCTTTTTTGTCAAACAATAGTTTTTGTTAGATTAGTTATCGACAATATTCAAACTTACTCCGTTATACAAAGGTTCAATACATTTTCACCATTATGATAAAGAGCCACTTGTACTCCTTCTCAAAAATGTATTTTTCTTTTTACATATAAAAAATATTAAATGCACAACGAGATTTCTGAAACCCTCTACTTGCTCCATTGAGATGGGGACATTGGTTCCCAACATAACATCTAGAATAAAAGAACTTCAGCCTAGGTCACTTCCAACTCATGGTATAAAGCTCAGGTTTTGCTGCAGTCATAGGGCATAGTCCTCCTGTATTGAGTCCAAAACCCATGATCCATCTTCCACTGTCATCCCTAAGCAAACCCCCTCCTGTGGCAATACCCGCACTTCCCTTTACACTACCATTTGTATTAAGAATTACACCTACTATTCATTCAGACAACATATGAACTCCATGGTTTGTTGGCTAGATATGTCAGATATTTATTATATAAAACATATTATATAAAACTATTGATTAAATTGTTTAGTACTTTAATGAATTTGATAGTACAAAATGAAAATTTGAGTGATTACGAGTCAGTAATATTTTACAAAATATTTTTTGAAGCTCTTATAAAGTTATAGTAAATTTTAAGAGAAATAACGATGTGAAACATTTGGTATAATAAACATTGGCGAAGTGGGATAAGTTGGGTGGAGCGCCACGCCAAATCCTAGTATACATTCAGCCTATGTTAACTAGCAAGTTAGGTGGTGTAACTTGGAATTGGATCCCATCCGGATTCACTTTGTGGGGATCCTGACATCCTTACATCTTAACCATTCATCGTGTATCATACGGTCAGAAATAATTTGACTTTTATTTATTTAAAATTAAACACAAATAGTATCTAACGAAAACTAATTACATGGTGTACGATGAATAACTAGAATCTAGGGATCCTTAGGATCCCCACAAAGTGGATCCGGAGAGGATCCTCTCCCTTTTAACTTAATAAACATTGGTAAAGTGGGATAAACTGGGTGAAACTCTCCCTACTTTTTCCTCAATTCTTCTTCTTCATTGAACCAAAATTTGCAAAAGCATTTCTCTAATCATCCTTTATCAAGTTTGAAAAACAGATGTTAAAAAAAATATATATTAAATTTTAAATATAAATAAATTATTATTATTGGCACTTTAAAATTCTCATTTGAACTTTAAATTTTCTATATTTAAAAAGAAAAATACACTTATAAATAAACAAAATAAAAATTTTAAAATGCTAATAAATGTTTTATGTAAATGAGCCGAATGGTTATTTATTTATTTTTGTTGTAAATAACCCGAACCACAAATAAAGCAATGAAAAACTAAACTGAACAGTAATTTCAAGAGCCTTCTATATATATACATAATTCAAATGATGCCCAACTCAATTCTAAATTGATTGATAATGCTAAGAAGATTAAATATTTAAAATAAATTTACAAACCAAATGATGTATTACCAATAGGAAATAAAGAACACAGATTTTCTCCTGATCTGTGCAACCAGAGCCCAGGAATCATAGATCCGGGCCATTAAAATTTGATCTAACGGTTACAAACAGGGGCCCCTCTAAAAATTATAATAATTATAGTTGTTGGATCAAATTTCAATAGCCCGAATCCATTGATCCCTAGTCTTCGGTTGCACATATCCAGAGAGGATATGTGTTCGAAATAAACACGTTAATTAACGTTTAAATAATAATTCAATTATCAATTACCACATCATTTAGTTTGCAAATTTGATGTAAGAATTTGGTCTACTTAGCATTTTCCATCCTTAAGCATTATTATTATTATTATTATTTTACAAACGATATTATCTGTATTAAGGGAATGAGGTAAGTTTAGCCTCACAATGAGTTATCAATAAAATAATTCAAATTCATCTTTGACAAAAATCAAATATAAAATCTCTTATTTACAAATAAAAAAATATATTATTAAATCGTGATACTAGGTAAGCATCATCCTTTGTATTGAAAAACAGTAGCAACGGCACGTCGAATTTATGGGTGCGGGGAAAGGCGCATTCCGTCGGAAGACTCTCCCTTTTTTCGCTCAATGTGAAAAGGCTGAGGCCTTCACGCGCGGATCACGCAAGGAAAAAATCTGGTCCACTCGCCACGTCACCTAAACCTTGGGCCTCAGGCTCACCACGTTCCCTATACCTTGGTCTGGAAGAATCCGCGGAAAATAAATAAATTGGAGAACATTTGGTGCGGTGCGCCTCCGTCACCAAATCAAAATCTCACGTCTGTAAACCCTAACCCTAATCTTTCTCTGTCTCTCCTCTTCCCTCTTTCTCTCTCTAGATTTCCCGAGAAATGGCGTCGTTCGCCGAAGCTCCACCCGGAGATGCGAAGACCGGAGAGAAAATCTTCAAGACGAAGTGCGCTCAGTGCCATACTGTCGAGAAAGGCGCCGGTCACAAGCAGGGTAATCTTATCGTCTCTCTCGCTCACTAGACCTCGTTTTTCCTTTTTGTTTGGTGATTGATTTGGATTATTTTCTTGATCTTGTTTGTAACTGACAGTTGTAGCTCCTTATTTGCATTTGGTTCGGATTTGTGTATTTTAATTTTTGTTTCGATTTGGTTGTTTGGATTACCGATTGATCTTTGCCCGCCTTTATAGATCTGATCGATTTCGTTATTAGGTTATTCGTGTTTCCAATTTATATAGAGTTTTGTTTGGTTTCTGAGAAAATTGACGAGAGCGAGAATTTCAGTTGATGTTGGTTTACACCATAGGAAATGAGTGGTTCTAGCAGTTTTTAGGTTTAAAATGATTGGTCTAATATTATCAATTTTCCTTTCTTGTTTTTTGATTTTTGGATTTCGGTTACAAGTTATTGTGTTTGTGCAAGTAATTCATAAATCCATCAATTTTCCTTTCCTTTTCTGTGATTGTTAATTCGCAACTTGTGGGAGGAAAAGTTATGTTAGATCCTTAGGAGTATACATGCTCTGTGATTGTGTATATATAGAAAGTTTTGATACTACTTAGTATATAGGGGCACTATATATGATTCGTTAGATTGATGTGACGAGCTTGGTGATTGTATGATCTTGTGTGTATACATTGGCGTTTATGCGAACTATCTCTATCGTTCTGTTTTTCAATCTATTGGATTTCTACATGCATTCTTTGCTAAGTTTCAGTGAGTTTATTAAAGTTGTTAACTTTCGATTGTTAAACCTTTCAGGACCTAATCTGAATGGACTTTTTGGGAGGCAGTCTGGTACAGGTGCTGGATACTCATACTCTGCTGCTAACAAGAACATGGCTGTGATTTGGGAGGAAAAGACCTTGTATGATTACTTGTTGAACCCCAAGAAGGTATGCAATTTTCTCTATTTGTTGTACCTCATGACTGATACAGAACCAAGCGCAATGGCGTTCTCATATAACCAACCCCACTTAGTTGGAAAATGCTTTGTTGTTGTTGTTGTACCTCATGACTGACACGATTTCTTAGAGCTAGGTTTATACTAGCATTAGAGATAGACATAGATCATCACCTATCAGTCATTCATGCTGACATGTAGGTGAGCTCAGTGATAAAAAAAATAGTTGAGATATACACGGTGCATAAAGTGTAAGTGTGTATAGGTGGTACCTCTCACATAAAAGAACGGGTGGAAGTGTATGGGTCTGAACATCAGCACTCTTTTATTCTTAGACTGTGACTATCTCTTCATTTATAATTCTACGTAAATTCATGTGACTATCTCTTCGTGTTCTGTTTAGATGATGTAGGATCCCCTTGCATGTGTTAGGTAGTGATAGTTCATTGATGTGGACAATCCATAATGTAGACTGATCCGGTGTAATTGTTGTTATGCAGTACATTCCCGGAACTAAGATGGTGTTCCCTGGTTTGAAGAAGCCACAGGACCGTGCTGATCTCATTGCATATTTGAAGCAATCGACTGCTTAAACCTTTTGCATTTTCCTAGTCCTCGATTCCCATTTTGCAGTATATGGAGGTGGTAACTTCACACAAGGCGGATAGTGCTATTTTTTTTGCCAATAAATCTTAAAAGGACCGTCCGGGTCTGCAATTCTTGTTTGCATGTCTAGCTTGCTTTTTGTGTTTGTAGGAAGAGGTTGCTGTAATTGGCAACAAAACATTCAATTCAATTTAGAAGCTGTGACTATATCTTGTGAATTTGGCAAAAAATGCCAGTTTTTCTGATGATAAATTTACTGCTACATTCGTAAAGTGTGTAGCAACAACTTATAATGATCGCTACTCTTGCTGGTCACTCTTAATTTGTTTACTTGGGTCGATATTTTACCCGTTGCTCTCTCAAATAAGGGAGGTTAGGCTCTAAAACGATGTTTACATGCAGGACTGTTTTTTTGTTTTTTGTTTTTTGTTTTTTGTTTTGAACAAACAATATCTACACTAAAAGAGTATGGTAGTTGGTCACTTTTGAGGAAAGAGGAATATTACTAGATCGTAATACCAATTCATGCACACAGCATTCTCACTAAAAGGAAAAATTGTTCTCTCTCTGCTCAACGCATGACCTCCTTGTGCGCACTTTGACCTACATGCCTCGGGGTTCACGGTAATTCAGCACACTGTCCAAAGCAGTATAAGTGAGAAAATTGAGAACTCGACTTCTGCGTTTTCGACTAATTGAATGTACAAAAGTAAAATAGCATGCAGATTAGCTTCTTTGCTAGAAATCGCACTTTTATTTCTTAAGGAATGTCACCGGTTTCTAATGTCTTTGCTCGAAAATTGCCTTATTCTAAACCCACTCTTCAAACATTTCCTTAACTGCTATACATCTGTAACTCAAGTGACGATTATCATTTTTGTCAACTGGGATGCCTTGCCACAACATTCCCCAAAGAAAAATGCAAATAGAACCCAAAAGCCACTATTGATTCGCGGAACTTTTGATTCAAGGTTTGGGCTGGGATGGCCGACGGAGTCCTGGAATCTGCACACAACATATGATGTTAAAAGGCCGGCAAACAGACCCATAAATTATACGTCAAAGGACATGGCACAATTTAGTACCAAAAAGAGACCTAAACATCAGTTGGTCATTATTAATAGATATGAACCTGCAAATTCCCAATTTTATGCATGATATTATACGAATTTCATCAAATACAACAACAACAACAAAGTCTTTTCTCACTGAGTGGGGTCGGCTGTATGAATCTTAGAATGCCATTGCGCTTGGTTTTGTGTTACGCCTTCTGTTAGATCCAATTACTCCAAGTCTTTTCTTAGAGTCTCTTCCAAGGTCTTCCTCTACCCCCGGCCCTGAACCTCTGTCTCGTAGTCGCATCTTCTCACCGGACCGTTAGTAGGTCTTCGTTTCACATGTCCAAACCACTGTAACCAATTTTCTCTCATCTTTCCTTCAATTTCGGCTACTCCTACTTTACCTCAAATATCCTCATTCCTAATCTTATCCTTTCTCATTTGCCCACACATCCAACGAAGCATCATCATCTTTGCTATTCATTTTATGTATGTGTTGGTGCTTCACCACCCAACATTCCATGCCACAAAGCATTGTTGACCTTATTGCCGTCCTATAAAATTTTCCCTTAAGCTTTAGTGGCATACGACAATCGCACCACACACCTGATGCACTCTTCCACTTCATCCATCCAGTTTGTATTCTATGGTTGAGGTCTCCTTCCAACTCTCCGTTCTTTTGCAAGATAGATCTTAGGTAGCAAAAGCGGTTACTCTTTGGTACTTCCTGATCTCCAATCCTTACCCCTAAATTATTTGAGCCTCCATTCACATTGAACTTGCACTCCATATACTCTGTCTTTGACGAACTTAGGCGAAGACCTTTAGATTCCAACACTTCTCTCCAAAGGTTAAGCTTCGCATTTACTCATTCCTAAGTTTCATCTATCAACACTATATCGTTTGCGAAAAGCATACACAAAGGAATATCATCTTGGAGATGTCACGTTAACTCATCCATTACCAATGCAAAAAGCTAAGGACTTAAAAATGAGCCTTGATGTAACCAGTTAGCATCTCCTATGCTTATAAGAGTTTCTTGGTCCTAAGAAAAAGGACATAGCAAGAAAAAGGATATAGCCTAAGTAAACGTCTGCGGATAGACGCATTGCCATTAATTGCAGTGTTTGTAGCAGCTTAAACGTCAGTCTTGAGTATGTAACTAAGAGCAGCCAACCGCACTACGTCCTTCTCTGTATGACCTAAGCAAGCTATCCTATTGTTTTTCATTCTGAAGCCTATGTTTCTTGGATGGTTTCGAAGGGGAAGAGTCCAAGAGAGAAGAGCAAGGGTAGGTGATTGGAGGAAGAGGAGAGTTGAGTGGAATGAGAGGAAGAGCGAGATTCACAGGTAGAGCGTTCTCTCGTACAAAGAAAATTATTTATTAATTTATTTTCTGAACGTCAGACACATTCACAACTATTAGATGGTGGCTATCTAAGGGCTAAAATGTGTCCATATGTGGCTCCTGAACTGGACGAACATATTTAAGGGTGGGACTCTGAATTTTGAAGGAATCAGAAAAGTTTCACGAATCAAAAATACCAAATACAACCTATCTCCATATGTTATAAATTATAATTTCTATCAGGATGTGCATACCTCAACTCCACGAGGGCCTATGCGATTACGGGATATAAAATTAGTTACTAGCGTTGCAAATTCATCAGGTACATCTTCCTGTACAAATATGGGACATCAAAGTTCTAGTTAGCTTCTACGGATTAGAAAGAGTAATATTTTAGAAGACAAAAAAAATCCATGGAAGATAAACAGAATACATACTTGTATGGCATGCCCAGTATGTCTGATGACAACCATTTGGAACTTCCCTTGCATTTGACCAATTGTCAGAGCTCTGTAACAAAAGAAAGAAAAACCCAGCCCACATCATTCCTTGAAAGCAGTCATGGTTCTTGACCCAAATAAATTCGATCATAGCAAGCAAGCACGGACAAAAGATAACCGAGGAAATAGAAATATTCCATTAGCATGGAAGTGCCAAAAACTATCACTTACACGCAAATCACAAATATAAGGTTATCTACCTAACCAGCCGATCAGTGCTATAACATTGTGTTTGTATGATATGTCTACACAAGGATAGTCACATAGCAGCAAGTAATATCAAAATATTGTCTAATTAAATACCGTGTATAACATGCAAAATAAAGTGGATACTTAACTCCAATAAGAGCATTTGACAAGACGATATCACAAATATGGACTTGAAGGTTTTCCACATTTTTTTATTTTAATACGAAATAAAAGGGAAATTACAATCGTTTTATGAAATTTTCCAATACACTTGTATACAAGTTTCAACAAACCTCAAATCTTTCTCTTTTTCAACCCAAAAATACACTTTATAAATTACACAATTCATGTTGGTAAGACAATGTGAGGAAATTGCTTATATCTGTTTGTGTGTATGCAAAACGTTAAAAGTAGATGCCCTCCCGTTCATGAAGATTTCCTTTCCTAGTTTGTCATGTGTCAAAAATTAAACCCATAGTGGGACCCAAATCCTAAACCGCTACGCATGCCATAAATGTGTTAATGTGCATACCATCTGCAAACAGTCAGAGTGTGATAACATAGAACATCTCTAAAGATTGTGTCATCACAAAATCGATATGATTAGACAGCATCATACTGATACTTTTTATCAAACAAGGATTTCATTAAACTATATGAGCAGATTATTCTGGCAAGTCAAATGGAAAGAACCTGTCTAGTCGGTCTGTTCCAGCTAACAGCAGGATCTTTGGAACGGGAGATGACAAAAACTTTTCTGAAAGGCCTTCATACCTGTATTTGAGTAAATATATTCAACAGGAAATGATTTATGACACAAAAGTCAAACCAAACACAATGAGTAAAAGCATCTCCATGTATGATACTTAAATGAGCTTTATCACTATGCTACCATGGCTATCAAATATTATGAGACATAAGGATAGCTCAAAGTGATGCAGTTTCATTTACATCTCTAACTCCTCTATCCAAACCCAACTAGTGTAAATCTGAACAATATTGGTATGCGGGCCTGTTCGGCAAGGCTTCTCGAAGTGCTAAAAGAGCTTTCAGATAGCCAAAAGTATTTTTGATAGCCTTTAATGGAAAATTTAAAATGCTTTCTAAGTTGTGCACTTTTCAGTGATTTCAGGAGAAGCACCAGGTGATTTTTTATGGAAATTTCCTAAATGCTTGTACTGAAAGTGTTTCCTACAGAAGCACCCTGAATCAGTCATATGAACAGGTTGTAACAAGAAGCAAGCCATGGTACATTCTTGATGCAGCAACCAAACAAGAAAACTGCACACAAGTATGCAGAATGAAATGTTCCAACTCATAAATGTTACATAGATGTGGGCAAGTCTGGTTTCAACTGAAATACGCACAACATGTAGTGACATGGACCCTGACCATTTGCCAAATTTTAAATGGATTAACAAGTAGTTTGAACATACCAGCTTTTCCAATATTGTTCTGTTTCTTCAAGTCGTGCTCTATAAATGTAACTGCAGAACAATACCAAAACTGTGCCTGTTATGTACAGGAATAAGATTAACAGAGACTTGACAAAAGGAATACAACAATGGATCATGGGAGTGGATAAATTATCATAATTTGCTTACAGGAATTGTAAAAGAGCAGTTACTAAAATACTTACCATTTCTTTGAATCATCATACTTTAATGTGGAAGGTATTGACACCCGAGCAGACTCAATGTTTCTTAAAGACCCTCCCCTCATACTCCATTCAATCTACAAAGGAATAAATTTTCAGTTTCAGCATAAAAACTCATCTCCGTCCGTTACCATTTTCATAACATGTATATTAAGGAAGCCATTTG